CAATTACTAGCACAGAAATATGTTTTTGAGGGAGCTTGGGTATCATATTTGGTAGGGAGTTGCATTGCTGACCCAAAGGTAGCACTTCTCTAGCAGCTTGAATCCACCAGCAGCAGCTCCATGGGAGAAAGGTGGGCAGTCTCCTTCCATGCAATTTAAAGCCCTGAAAACCTGCTGGATGGTCAGCCGTGAGTTGATTCCAATTTGACATTAATGAATATTATTTGAATAATAACCTTCATTTATTTATTTTTTTAATGCTATTTCTGCTTCTGTGTGATTAATTGCCTCAGAAAACCTGCTGCAGGGTCAGCTCTTGGTTGGCTCTGACTCGATGGTACCCAACAATAAAAACTGATATAATTAATAATCACAAACCCATATATAATTAAATATTAACACTACCGTACATCTAAAGATGGGATCTGTATCATTTATCTTGCATCTCTCTCCCCTATTCTGTAAGAGATTACCCTTATTTTGAATTTTGGTTTATAATTTCTTTGACATTAAAAAAATTTGATATATATATATTTTAATGCTTTGGGTATTTTGCTTTGTTTTTGAGTCTTTGTAAAAGAGAAAATGTTCCTTTGTATTTTTAATATTTATTCTTTATTCTTCATTATGTTAAAGTTCATTGGCTCTTTTATGTAAAACTGCAGCTTTAATCTACTGTATATTATTCTTTTGCTAAAGAGGGCAATGTCATGCTTGGGAGGGTGGAGAGATAGAGCAGGAGAGGAAGGCCCTTCATGAGATGGATTGATTCAGTGACTGGAGTAATGGGGGTAAGTGTGTCAGAGACAATAAGATTGGCACAGGATAGAGCAGGGTTTAGGGCTGTTGTACATAAAGTCACTATGAATTGCAGGCAACTCGACAGGACATAACAAAAACAGCAGCAGTAAAAAACAAGAATGTCCGTTCAAAGACAAAGGTATATCTGATCCAATTCATAGTATTTTTCTGTTACTTTCTTTGCATCTGAAAGTGGAATAGTAAGAAAAGAAGACCCTAGAAGAAGAAATGTCTTTGAATTACAGTGTTGGAGAAGAGTATCGCATATATGATGGACTGTCAAAAGAAGAAACAAGTCTGTCTTGGAGGAAATGCATTGAGTGCTCTGAGACAAAAATGGTGGAACTTTGTCTTACATACTTTGAGGATGTTGTCAGGAAAGGCCAATACTTGGAAAAAGACATCTGTTGGTAAAGGTGGAGGATCACAGAAAGAGAGGAAGTCCTTAACCAATATGGATTGATATGGTGACTGTACAGTGAACTTGAGGTTGGAACAGATTGTAAAGGAGATCGTAAAAATGGTGGAGGATAGAACATGGTTTAGATCTATTTTCCATAGGCTTGCTGTGAGTCTTTGTCAACTCAGTGGCATCTAACCAAAACCCCCCAATATTTTGTTGTGTGATTTTTGTTTCCTGAATTATTTTTCTGTTTTCCCAACAATAAGCATTTGTGCTTTGCAGTTAGTTGTTTTTCTTTTTTCCTCTATTTTTTTAAAGGTGTCAGCTTCCATCCGCGGGCTTCTGGGAGATGTAGTTGTTTGTAGCTGTTTGGTGCGGGGTCAGCTGATTCACCTCCTACCACATGCATTGTACCCCTGCACTATGCCCTGCTGCCTCTGTGCCTTGTGCTCCAAAATTTGAAGGTGTCAGCCTTGACCACTGGGAGAAGTAGCTGTTAAAACCTGTGTGGTGCAGAGTCAGCTCAATAGCCTCCTGCGGCATGTGTTGTACCCCCACACTATGAAGAGCCCTATAAATATTCTTGTATTTTGTTTTTATTAGGTGCCACTATTGAGTCAACTTCAACTCATAACAACCCTATATGCAACATAAGGAATCTTGTACCACGTCACAGTTGCTGCTGCACTGGGCCTGTCAACCCATTCCACTAAGGGTTTTCACTACATCTCTCTAATAACTTTTGGTATGCATGTGAAAATTGTATCTTGTGTTTAGAGTCTGGAATGAAATTGTGGGATCCTAGATATGTAATGACCAACTGACTGGAAGAGATCTGTACTGATTCTAATTCCAAGACAAGCTGACCCAACAGAGTGTTTAAATTATGGAATGATATCATTAATATCACACACAAACTAGATCCTGCTGAAGATTATCCAGAAACAACTGGAATAGTACATCAGCAGAGAACTGCCAGATGTGCAGGCTGGATTTAGAAGAAGCCATAGTACTAGGGACATCATAGCCAACATTAGATGGATTTTAGCTGAAAGCAGAGAGAACCAGAGAAATGTCTATCTGTGCTTCATTGACTATGCAAAGACATTTGATTGTATGTAAATTGTGGCTAACTTTGAATAGAATGGGGATCCCAGAACACTTAATTGTGCTCATTCAAAACCTGTACTTGGACCAGGAAGCAGTTGTCAGAACAGAACAGGGAATCACTGCATGGTTCAGGATCTGGAAATGTATGTGTCAGAGATGCATCTTACCTTCATACTTTTTCAATCTGTATACAGAACATATCACTCTGGAGGCTGGACTTTATGAGGAAGAATGTGGCATCAGGATTGGAGGAAGTCTCATCAACAACCTGTGTTATGCAGATGACACAACCTTGCTTGTGGACAGAGGTGTTTGCTGCAGGTCAGGGACTGTAGTCTTCAATATAATAGATTGAAACTCAACATCAAGAAAACAAAAATTCTCACCGCTTGGCCAATTAGTTACTTCGTGATATGTTGATAATTTCAGCTTGCTTGTTTCCATAATCAATATTCTTGGCATCAGCAGTCAGGAGATCAAAAAACAAATTACATTGTGAAAGTTGGCTGTCAGGGAGCTCTCTAGAGTACTGAAAAGCAAAGATGTCAGTGTGAAGACTAATGTGTGCCTGATCTAGGCCATGGTCTTCACAATTACAGCATCTCTTATTTTTTATTTATTATATTTATTTTTGAGGGAATAATGCTTTACTCATTTTTGTATTAAGTTGCTCACTATTCCTTTTGATTAATAGGAGTGTTAAACTTTATAATAATAGATTTCGGATATTTGAGTTGCCCCTATTTTCTAGCAGGAACTTGCCAGGTTTTGTAGTTGTAGGTTTGAGTATGCAGAAATTCTTAATTTTATATAGTTAGATTTCTCAATCTTTTTGTTTATTTTTTGAGTAGAAATTCTCTTTGGAGCATATCACAAGTAGTTATATAATTATTAAGGGGTAATCATGTCAGTTTGAGGACTAAAGGGTGACTGGTTCAGGTGATGGTCTTTCTGATCACTTGCTATGCATCTGAGAGCGGGACAATGAATAAAGGTGACAGAAGAATTGACACCTTTGAGTGATGGTTTTGGAGAATAGAACATGGACAGCCAATAGAACAAAGAAATATGTCTTGGAGAGGGTACAGCTTGAGTGCTCTTTGGAGGCAAGGATGATGAGGTTTTGCCTCATATACTTTGAGCATGGTACTAGGAGGGGATATTCCTAGGAGAGGGACATGATGCTGGGAAAGGTGGAGGGTTGGCAAAGGAGAGGAAGACCCTCTATCAGGTAGGTCGATACAGTGACTACCACATTGGGCTTAGTGTGTCAGGAAGTGTTAAGATGGCCCAGGATAGGAAAGGGTTCATATTTGTTATTCAGAGGGTAAGTAGGAGTCATACTTGACTTGATGACACATACCAACCACCACCTAACAACTATAATTTATATTTTACATCATTAAAGTTTAATTATTTGTTATATTTTTATCTGATATAAAATTTGAAAACATAGCCAAATAGCTTATGATAGTGGTTTTCAACCTATATTGCATGTTAGAGTTTTCTGAAGAGATTTTCACATATGTTCGTTTCTAGGACTTGTCTCAAGACATTTAAATTAGAATTTCCATTTGTGTACCTAATCCTTATTTTGTAAAAACTCTTCTTCTCTGAAGGGATAATAATCATCTATAGTCTGGCATAAAGGGTTGTCCTGAGAATTAGATTTAACTATATTTTATATGTTTATATAGTATATAAAATATATCCTGCTTTTATAGTGCAGTGTTAAGCCGAGATGCTAAACAGTCACCAGTTTAAATCCCATTGGGAGAAACATGTGGCAACCTGCTGTGTAAAGGTTTACAGCTGTGGAACCTGTCTACGAGGCAGTCCTGCTCTGTCCTATAGGTTCTGTGAGTTGGAATTGACTCCATGGCAATGAGTGTGGTGCATATTCAGAATGTGATGAGTCTGACGATACCGGCTAGATATGATGAACATGAACAAGACAGATGCATTTGGTTTTTCCTTTTATAAAGTTCACTGTCAAACACAGAGTGAGAATCCATTAAAATGAGTGATGTCAATAAAGTGTGAGATGTTTTAATGAAAGACGTACATGAATCAATGAAAGCCTTTTAAATGTAGGATCTGTACTATTTTAAGAGCAAGGAAGATCTCTTGTGGAAATCATACAGTGAAATTGGAAATGAGTAAGATGGGTGGTTCCAGAGAGAGAAAAGAGAAAATGAAAAAAAGTAAAAAATCTTCCTTTGAAATTATGACACTGTCTGTGAACAGCATTTTACACTGGGCCAACCTGGAGATGCAGAGCTTAAGGAGGCTGACTAGGGCTCTTAACACCCACACAGAATGGTGGGGGACCAAGCACAAAATCAACTTTGTCGTGGAAGAATGTGCCCAGGTAATTATAACATTGGTAGAAGTGAGACAATCACTAAGTTTTATAGGCGTTCACAACAGAAAAGAGACCTGTTTCTCTTAGGGGGCTGGAACACAAAGTTATTGAAGGAGTTGCCTAGTGATAAGAAGGTGTGCTACCACTCTGAAGGTATGTGATTCGAATCCCTCAGCTGCTCTGTTAGAGAAGGGTGGTACTCAAAAATAACATGTTCCTCAAAGAATGAGCAGGGTGAGACGTGATACATGAGTGATCCAGTGCTGATTGTAGTTTTTTTCTGGCTTTGATTGTGTTTTGACCCTTGCCTTATTTGTTCAGCTAGGATTGTGTCTAAGCAGAGCCTCTGCATCTGTTCTTAACCTCAACTGCAGCCTTATCCTTTTACCCATGTGCCGAACCATCCTGGCTTACCTTCGAGGATCCCAGAAGGTAAGAAAAGGGAAAGATGAAATCCTAGTTACAGAGTGCAGCAGAAAAAAACGCATGTCACAGTAGTAGCCTGTTAGTGATGCTTAGTCTTCTGCTAGACTCTTTGCCTTAAAGGTGATAAGCAGGGTCATATCATCTGTAAAGATGATCAGGGCTGAAGTTCTGAAGTGCTAGGTCACCTGTTAATGATCTGAGCAATTCTGCGATATGAGATAAAGGCAGAAGGTAATATAGAAAGAGGTTTTATTAGCAATGGCACCACACATTTTGGTCCAAACTTCACTTATGTAATCGTGAATCTTCTCAACAATCTGAAGGTAGATATTTTAAGTTGCTCTTATAGATGAAGGAAGCTGAGACAGAGACTTTAATTTCTTGACCGAGTCATGAAATGAGTGAATGGCAGGGCTAAAATGAATCCCAGTCGGAGCTCTTTCCACTCTGTCATGTCCCCATTTAGAGCCCATATTTTAATTAAATCCAGGTGAGCAATCTATAGCCCTGTGACAGTGGAGCAGTACAGTAGGTGATTGTGCTGGAGGTAACATTTCCTTTCTTAAAATATGCCCGTTTTAAGATGTGGAACAGATTTGAAAAAGATGTTTTGAATGGATTTCAACATTATGTTTATTATTGTAAAATGAAAGATTTAAGAAATGGAGAAAAACACTTTTATAACCCTTCCATTTAAAATGAGATTCTTTTAAATATTCTGTTGTCTGTACACACACACACACACACACACACACACACACACACACTTTCCTTCAAGGAGATGGTCAGATCTGCTGTGTAAGATCTGATCTTTCAGAGGTCATTTTTAATTTTTTTTTACCCCCAGGACTTGTTAACTTGAGATAGTTTTGATATTCTTTGAAGTTCGTATCACTGTCTCAACCTTTTTATGTAATTATAATTGTAAATTCTTTACTTTTTAATGCAGTAATTTGTGGAAATAACCCTTCCCCTAGGCTGCCTACCATTGTAAAATGCTAGGCTGTTGACTTGGTTTGAAGAAAGAGAAGATAAGTGGCAGGAAATGAAAAGTGCCCACCTAAGTCTCTCAGCATTTAATAAGTCTTCAGTAATTGTCTCCTGGTGTGAAACATAGGTATTCAAAGGTGCTTGACATTTTTCTATAACACCAAGCAGGCATTTTAAATGATAAGTGGATTGATGAATTTTAAAGTAATTTAATTTTGGACTACAAAGAAAAGATTTTACATACATATTATTTATACACGCGTATATATGATGTCATAGTCAAACATTCCAGAAATTTATTAGGTATTCATGAAAGTTTCTCTTAACTTTACCAAGGCAGTGACTCATGATGCTTTGGATAAATTCCTATAGATATCTTATCATGTAATACCATTAATTTGAAACAGTATCATATCAATATAATTTATGTTTTATACTTTGAACTAAATATTTCTTGCTCACCTTTCTACATCAAGATATATAGGGTTGTTTTTTAAAAAAAAAAACAACAACAACAAACAAACCAAAAAACAAAGAACTCCTTTATTCTCCACATATGGAGGCTCTCTCCCCTGTGTACTGATCTCGCACAAGGGAGAAAGAGAGCGAGACTCCGCCCATCTCCGGCTTTTGAGGCCTTCCTGAGAGCTTCTGCTCAGGGCGGGTAATTGGGAACATGGTTGGTGGTTGAGGTACTCAGTCATGTGGGCCGGCTTCTGATTGGCGGGCTTATTAAGATCTATAGCTTTTTAACCTTATCTTTAATAGGTTTAGAGTGTGCCATTGACAAAATAGATACTAATTTATGTTACCAATTTTTTACTAATAGTAATTTTCTGTTGCATCCAGATTTTTGGTATTATGAAAAATGCCAAAAATATAAGAATTTATATTACTAAATAATTATTTTATTTAGGTTCCAAGTCGGCGAACTAGAAGACTATTGGATAAAAGCAGAACATTCCATATAACCTGTGGTATTACTATCTGTATTTTCTCAGGTAAGACTGCTAAATTAGGTAAATGTTACAATGTTGTTTTTTAGTTACCATAGAGCTGATTTCATGTCCAAAATATGTGAGATGAAGGTTTGGATATCCTTGCGCTTTAGGAGTTTGGAACCAAATCCCTTCTCACTGGGTCTTCCTTTTTTTTTTTTTTTTGCTGACCCTCATTCTTGATGCCTTTCCCCTAAGATTGGTCCCTCATGATAGCATGAGACTTCATGAAGTATAACCTCCTTTGCTTCTAAGGAGCATTCTTTCTTCACTTAGAAGACAGATTTGTCCATTATTCTGGTAATCCTTGGCATATTCATTTTTTTTTTGTCAACACTGTAATTCAGATACTCTATATCGTCAGTCTTTCTTTCTTTTTGTCCAACTTTTTGTATGCATTTGAAGCACTTAAAAATACCATTAGAATTGCACATCTTAAAGATGATGTCTTCATTGTTCTATAAGTTTGCTGTTACCATATTGTGATTATATTTTCAAAAAAATATATATAGCTTAATTTTCTCTTCAGTGTATTTAAAGACTTTTTGTTTTGTTTTGTTTTGTTTTTTGTATGTGTTCAGGGAGGGTTATTGAAACTGTTTTTGGGGTCTTTTTTGCATCCAGGTGTTAGTCTTTGAGCTGATAATGGCTACTTTTGAAAATAAATAATTTCCTTTAGAAGTTTTAAGATATGAAAGTTGCATTATGACATGAGTTTAAAAGGGCATGCAAATTAGAATGTGAACTATATATTCATAGCTAATTTCACCCAAAATTTATTTGATGAATGTTTCTTTACTTTTAATAATTGGGAAGAAGGGTAAATGTCAGAATTTGTTAAATATGCCCTGCCTTGTTTCCAGTTAAGTACAGTGATGATCTTTTGATTTTTAAGAATAATTTAAAAATAGATCTTGCTCTGAGTATTTATAATTTTCACATTTTTTTAACAGAAAGCATTAAAAGTAGTGGTAGAAGTACATGAACTATGATTGTTCAGGCTGTGTCTCCATCTCAGTTCTGCCTTCTTATTTTAAGAATCCTGCTTGTTACTGTTGATTTTTGTTAAAAAAACAAACCTTTAAAATTGATTGTAGTGCTTATTAAACTCATAGACTTAAATCAGAAAATTCGCATGAAATCCTTAGGATAAACTCTTGAATATGCTTAATTTTAATTATTCTAGTAGTATAGAAAGGCTTTCTGGTGGCTCAGTGATAAGGAACAAGGCCACCCAAAACAACACCATTTGAGTCTAGTAGCTGCTCTATAGGAGAAAGATGGACAGTCACCTTTTGTTAGATTTATGGACTCGAAACCAACTGGAGGATTAGCTATGAGTTAAGCTTGAAATCACTTAACAACAAATTGACATAGTGCCTAGCCTTTTGAACTGACTCATATTTGATATAATTGCTTTGATATTAGGGACATTTTCACTGGATATTTATATATGATGATTTTGATTCCTTGGAGGTTAGGATTTTGAAGCTCTGTCGTACATACTTTGGGCATATGGCCAGAAGGGACCGATCCTTGGAGAAGGACATCATGCTTGGAGGAGTGGAGGGACAGCACAGGAGGAGAAGACACTGAATGAGATGGCTTGAGGCAGTGACTAGGGCAATGAGGGTAGGTGTGTTGGTGTCAGTGAGATTGGCTCAGGACAGTGCACTTCAGAGCTATTGTACTTAGGGTCACTATGAGTTTCAGGTGACTCGATGGCAAATAACAATAACAAGAACACAACAATTTTGATTCAGTTATATTTCAGTGTCACCATTACAAAATAAGTTAAACTCTTTGCTTTTTCAGAATGGCAAAATATTGATGAAGTAGACACCTGTACTTTGCTATCCCGGAGTATCATCTTGTAGTCTTCACCTCCAGAGTGGAGAGATGTGATGATGTTCAAGAACAGAATTATGATGACTCTAGTACAGTCCAAGATTAGAGAGGAACAAGGTCCAGGGTGAGATGAGACCCAGAATGAGGGATTACTAATGAAAGAAGGTTAAAAATAGAAACCACACCACTTGCCTTGGAATCCTTTCTGACTCATGGTTATGCCATGTGTGTCAGAATACACTTGTGCTACGTAGACTTTTTTAGTGGCTAGTTTTTAGGAGCTGATCACTAGACCTATCTTTCAAAGTGCTTCTAGGTGGATTTGACCCTCTAAATATTTCTTTAGCATCTGAATTCCTTAATTGTATATGTCACCCAGAGATTCTTGGGTTGAGGTTATAGAAAGTGAGAGACTAGGAATGGAGAAGGAGTAGAAAATTCGGGCACATTTGTTACTTGATCCACTCTAAATGGTTTTGTGGAGTGTTTTTTATTTTTTATTTTTAATCAGAGCATTTTTTTACTCTCTTTTGTGTCCAAAATGTTCTAGTTCAAATGGAGAGTACCTAGGCAAATGAAATAGTGATATTACCAAAGAAGAATATCTGTTTCAGAGTTGGTTAAAAAGCCTTGAAGTCCTCCACTCACTAGTTGTCTGACTGCCCAGGTTACCATTCTTTACCTTTTCTAATCTGCAAAATAAGTTTGATTCTAGCACATCTCATTATTGAGAATTCAAGGAGATAATTCATGCAAAGTATCTGACATACTTCCTCCCTTGTCTAGCATAGATCACTCTCAATATAAAATCTGTTTAAAAAAGGTAAATGTTTCCCACATGGATGTCTCTACAATTTCCATATAAGTGTTTTCTGCAGGAGAATTCAGAAATAATGGCAAATTCTCTAAGAGATTGCTTTTGAACCTCTTGGATCAGTCTTTCAAGAAGGATATCATGTTGGAAGAGTGGAGAGTCAGTGGAGGAGAGGAAGACCCAGGATAAGATGAGTTGTCACAGTAACTGGGGTAATAGGGATAAGAGTGTTGGAAACAGTGAGATTGGCTCAGGATAGGGCAGGGGTTAGAGCTATTGTTCATAGGATCACTATGAGTTGCAGTCGACTTGATGGCACATAACAACAACAAGCCCTTGGATTGACAGCACAGCTGCCTACCAATTAGGTTATCAAAACTCAGACTTACATAAAATGTAATTATTAGTTTCCTGAAATTTTACCACTTGAAGTGTTATTAACATAATAGACTTGAATCTGTGACCCATACTCTAGGTACTTAAGGCTTTTGAATAGATTGAGATGCTTAACAACCCTCCATCAAGTTTCAGAGTCTACAGATCTTTATAAGAGGAAATTGCCCATCCTTTTCCCTGGACTACCTGGTGGATTAGAAGCAACTTTACAGTTAGCAACCTGGCACGTTACACACTATACCACCAGGATTTCATATTCTAGGTGTGATAATGAAATGTGTAAAATACATAGTATTATCATAGCTATGGCAAACTGAAGATGGAACATAAAAAATGATAGTAAAATATCTAAAATATTCAGTAGCCACATGCATATGTACTACTATGCATGTGTATTTGTGTTTAAGGAATGTGATCTGTGTATGCATGTTTCTCTAAAAATATTTTCTGTGTCTTACTTACTTGGTTTATTTCATTCTAGATTTCAAATTTGGATATCTCTACATTCTAATACCCAGCGTACCCATATTAAAATAGCTTGGTACCTGAAGTCTCGCTCTTTTCTTTAGTTCTTCATTCTTCCAGCTGTCAGAGTTGGACTCTATATTTACTTAGAGAGAGGAGCTGACCCCTTACCCTCAAACCTCACCTATTGACTTATGTGACTCGGTAGGTGTGCATGTGGCTGCTCATCTGATGAATGCCTTCAACTTCTCGGTGAACTACAATGAGGATTTCGTGGAACTGAATGCAGCAAGATATCGAAATGAGGTGGGTGGACTCTGTCTTCCCATTTTCCTTTCATTTGTCACAGGATGACTAATGAGGGTCTGCAGTTTTCACAGAAAATTTGTACCTTACTGCTCCTTTCAAGTGCTTTTAAAATGCACTTGTCAAGTTGAGTTTTATTCCTTTTCAATCGAAAATATAGGTAATTACTATTTCATAGTTTTTCCTGCTGAAAATGGGAGTTTAGAGTATCTGCTTTTTTTAATCCTACCCTGTTCACATAGTTGCCACTCAGGACTGCCTGCTGCCTTTCAACAGCTTTTGTCTAACTTCTGTCATGCAGCAGAGACTGTTGAAAGTGCCATTAGGAGGTAAAAGTCCTATAATAACTCAAATACTGTGTGTTTATGAGGGCAAGGTGATAAATTGTAGATCCTGGACAAATCAGTTTATTTTATTTTTAAAAGAAATAATACTGAGTTTTCATGATTCATTTCAATTTTTTGTATTTTGAAAGATGTTATTTTGAGCTGGATACTAAAAAAGTGATAGCTGATTTACGGTCTATAAAATGTGACCAATGAAAGCCAATAGTATGTGCAAGGTGCTGGGTCAAAGCCTGATAAACAAACCTGGGCAGATCTCTTTTGTTTGGTACTTTCGTGTTGTCCACATCCCATCTTGGCTTCCTAAGCTCGAGAGTCTGTCTATAACCAAAGAGCTCAGTGTAGCATCTTATTTGATCAGAACCATTCTGTTGACACAGTCTGTTAGTGAAGAATATTCCTGTCCATCTTTCTCCACTCCATTCTTTCTTCCACTTGCCATCAGTGTTATCTAGGTTAATGTTGCCATAATACTGCATTTAGACTATCTCTCAACACAGAACAGAAGAATGAATATTAAAAAACAAACAAATCATGAAATGAAAGTGGCTAGCAGTGATTACTATTTTCTTTGATTTAACTGGTGGTTTTCAAAAGCAACCATATGATTTAAATGGTCTCTGGTGGAGTGTAGCTATGATATTTTAGAGAATTTACCAGTTAATTGTTGGAGCATCAATTAAAAAGTCCAACTCCAGCCCGTGGAAACTCTCCACAGGTAAGGATTTTAGATCCAGTGTTACCACTGCTCTTTGCCTTTCTCTGCCTCCCCCCACTACTCAGTTATCTTTTGATTATTGATTCCTGCCTTTTCCATATAATTTATTTCTTTGCTTTTCCTTTTGTTTTCAAACCTTTAATAACATGAGTAGTTATATTCTTTGAATGTAGATCAGTTTTGCTTTGTTGCTGTTGTTAGGTCCTATCAAGTCAACTATAACTCATTAACTATTAACAACAGATATGACCTTGCCCATGAAAGTCTTCGCCACATCCTCATGATCTCTGATATGCTTGACCTTATTGTTAAAGTCTCTGTCAGTCTGGCTTGTTGAGGATCTTCCTCTTCTCCTCTTACCCTCTGCGTTTCCCAGCATAATATCTTTTTCCAAGGTCTGGTCCCCTCCTGGCAACATACCCAAAGTACATGAGATGGAGATTCACTGTGACTCAAAATGTTTAGATTTCTTAGAACTTTCAGATATTCTAACTATTTTATTTCAAGAGTAATGCAAGATCAAGAACGTGAAGTTAAAAATGTAGAGCTATCCTTATTCTTTCTTCCATTGATAGACACAGGTTATATATTTTCTTCTAAGATAATTTTATTGGTATTTTATAAACCATATTTCTCTGCAGTGTGTTTCGTGATTTTTTAACCTGGAATATTTCTTTCCTCATTCTTTCCCCCCATCTCATGTATTTTTGTTTTTGTGCCTATGTTATAATTTTAAAAATATCTTCCTTATTTCCAGATACTGGGGCTGACTCTATTTTTTTTATAAACCACATTACAGTAAACTTACTTCTTTGTATACTTCCAATAGTATTTCTGTAAGATAAATTCATAAAATGAGACTTTATGTTCTGAAATTAACTTTAGTAGACATTGCATAGTTATGATCCAAAAAGTCATCACCATTTTATAGACTTTAGCCAGTAGTATATGGGAATGCCTATGTGTGTGTCTCTTCTCTCTGTTTTTCCCTTTAAAATTTATGACAGTTTTATAGAAGGTGAATAGTGATGAATTGTATTAACTTGTATTTTCTTCCCCCCCGTTCCCTTTACTCTTCTTCCTTTTTTCTCTTTTTTTTGCTACTATACCTTTATTATCAGATAGTGTTTAGGTGAAGAGAAAAAATAAATTATATAAATCCACAAATGAACACACCCTTACGTGCTAGGTCCTATCAGGTTGATAATTCTATACAATAGAGTAGAACTACCTCATGGGTGCCCAGGACCACCACGTCCTTTTACTATGAAACAACTAGTAGGTTAGGACCATTGACTTTTGCTTGGTACCGACCACTTAATCACTGCACCATCTGAGTTCCTTTTATAAATTTGTTCATTGTGTTCTTCAGAGTAGATTCTGCCTTGTGTTGACCCTCATATGACAGAATAGATCTGTCCATAGTTCCCTAGCTTGCAGTCTTTATGGGAACACATCACCAGTCTCTTTTCCCATAGAACAGGTAAACAATGTAAACTGTTGACCATTCTCTTAGCAGTTGAACACTTGACCATTATACCATCAGATATCTAAATATACACATTATGAAATACCTTGGAAAAGATGAATTTGTTCTATGCAAGTTACTATTCTTGCCTAATGCTTTTTACTTGATCTGTGGTGATTCACCTTTCAAATTTTATCTGTTGTGCATTTTAGTGGCCTAATTCTGTGGTTTCTTACAATTTATGAAGCCATTTTTCTACTCTGACAACACTAATTGCTTTTTTTTTAAATTTCTGTAACTGTTCATATTTCTCATATTGCCCTTCATTCAACCTGTCTTATACTGTTTTATTATTGAACAGTTTTTTCCAGCTTACCCCACAGCCATGTTTTTAATTCAAGGGGTTTAAAATAAGTCTTTTTACCTGAGACAAGAGCGGAGCTTTCATGGACAGAAGTCTATTCAAGGATTCTGAAATTATACCATATAAATCAATTCTTAATTAAACCCAAAGGCACGTTGTTCAAAACTCCCAGCCACTCTGCAGGAGAAGGATGGGCAGTCTCCTCCCATGTAATTAACTGCCTCTGAAAACCCACCAGAGGATCAGCTATGGGTGACCTTTGACTCAGTCATACAAAACAACAACAAAAATCAATATATAAACTGAGCTGACCATATATTCATTGGAGAAATAAGAAAGGAATTCAGAAGTTCTGCAGTGGTAACACTGTGAGGATGAATAACGAAATCCACAGTTCTATAAGACTAGAACAGTATTTCCCAGTTGAAATAAAGTAAATTGACCTTAAGCCATGAAAACAAAATATATAATTAAATTAAAATAACGTAATAACAATATAAATGTTTTCTATTTGCAAGTAGTAGGAATCATACTCACTTTGAGTATCCTCATAATTTTTCACTACATGTGACAATAGAGAATAAGGTCTCAGTCTTCTTAGGACTAAATCTAGTGACTACAAACCTTTTCACATGTTTTGTTATCCGTGAACCTCCTGTCTTGAGGCCTTATGTACTCAGTTTGCAATTATAGTGAATGTTGTTCTTGTTGTTATGTGTTATCAAGTTGTCTGTGACTCATAGCGACCCTATGTACAACAGTCCTAAACCCTGCTTTATCCCCTGTCAATCTTATTGCCTCCGACACACCTATTCCCATTACACCTATGATGTCAACAAATCTTAGGATTTGTAGCCTTAAAACCACTGCCAGTACTTTTTAAGCAGTCATTAGGATCAAACCCAAACCTTTGGGCCTTTCGTGACCTCTCATTTAGCACTCTGTCTTTTGTAGATGGTAGATTTCTCTGTGTTGGATTTTGTATTTCTTGTAATTATTCTCTAACATTTAAAAATCTTTGAAACTTAAACTTCCCATTTCTACAGACAGAACAATATCTAAATGTCACACTGTATTGTTCTTACATCCTGCAATATACTTGTAGAATTACATATATCATCCATGATTTAATATTCAGCTTATTCTCTCCCCCCCCCCCCCCGTTTCAGGATCCTAGAAAGCTTCTCTTCACAACTGGTAAGTTGCTAATAATTGCTCACTTTGAACATTCAGCAAATTGAGTAACTAACTTAGCTAAAAATCTTCAAGTTCTATGATAATTACAGGTGTGTTAGAATATAATGGTAATTTATCATAACAGAACTACTATTTGGGATCAAGTAAAAGGATGCAATAAAACTGTAGTTGAAAGCAATCCATTGAGGTTAGAATAAAGAGTAAAAAATGAACATAAGCACTTCCCTTTCGTATGTCATTCTTTTGAAAACAATATAAAGCCGTGTGCCAGATGGGCAATCTTTTCCCATTTGATTTATTTCTAGAAACCTGCTGGAGGGTCAGCTATAAGTTGTTTTTTACTCAGTTTCAGGGAACAAGTGAGTGAATACCTGTTGAGGTCCAGCCTTGTAATTAGTTCTGTGATACGTATTTTGGGTTCATGTATAATTGGAAAAAACACTAAGATGTTGGAGGATAAGCAAACACTTTGACTATCATTGTAATTCTTTGCTATCAATTGGAAACAATTCAGGTGACCCTTCATTGGGTTTGTGAGGCTGAAAATTGCATGAGAAGACATTGGCTTTCTTCTAAGGAGCTTCTGGTGGATTTGAACCTCAGGAGAGGCATTATGTGTGAGTTAATACCTTAATTCCTTATGGACTGTGCCACCAGAGTTTCCCAGGTATCAATGTAATTGTCATTATTCAATAATTTAGTAAGATGGTTTGTGATCATGAAGCCTGTAACATTTTATATTTAAACAGTAGAGGAGAAACACAATCATGAAATAATGTATTTTTGAAATAATTTCTCTTTTATTTGCAAGTTATTTTTCCTTCTCAAGCATTTTGTCCATGAAATCTCAGTCTAGACTGTTAATTTGTTAGAACACATTTGAACAAACCAATTTTTTTCTCTGATATTAGTATAATTTTTACAAACAGTCTTTATCTTTCTCAAGCTTAATATTTAGAGTAATGAAGGAAGAAGGCTACATGTTAGAAATCTTTAGCACATCTTTCAGGAACAAGGATAATTGGCTAGTTGAAAAGGTTTGTCATAAATAACTGGATCAGAATTGGAGACAGAACTGATGCATTTCCCTATTTTATATGTTGTTTTTCTTCTTCTGATAAGTTTCATGATAAAATTTTTCCAGAAAATTTTTGCAGAAAATAAAATTTTTGCTTCTCCCATCTGTGTCACAAACTGTATATTTAGATTTAGAAAATATATTTCATTTTTATATCTTGATACATAGTACTTGTCACTTAAATTGGGCAGTCTTCTCCCTTGTAATTTTTTTGTTGTTAGGTACTGTCAGGCCAACTATGACTCAGAGTAAACCAAAGAGCATGAATCTGAGCAATGCCCTATCAATGCCAACCTCATAATCTCTGATATTCTTGAGCCCGTTGTTACAGTCAGTGTGTCAGTCCGTTTCTTTGAAGGTCTTTCCCTCTTTTGCTGACTTTCCACCTTTCCAAGCCTGCTGTCCTTCTCTAAGTACTGGCCCCTGCTAAAATAACATGCCCAAAATATGTGAGATGAATCTTGACCATCTTTGCCTCCAAGGAACATTCTGGCTGCACTTTCTATAAGACAGTTTGTTCTCTTGGCAGCACATGGAATATCTGATATTCATCATTCTTCTCCAGAACCACAGGCTAAAGTGATCAATTCCTTTTCTATCATCCTTACTTTTTGTCCAACGTTTAGATGCTTAACAAGTAATTGAAAAGACCATGGCTTGAATCAATGCTATTAGTCTTTTATATTGCCATTGTTAAGCCTTAAAAAGGTTCTTGACAACAGATTTACCCAATGTAATACATCTTTTGATTTCTTGACTGCTGATGTTAAGATGGTTTGATTTCATCCTAGGAAAATGAAATCGTCGACAACTCCAGTCTTTTCTCTATTTGTCATAATGTTGCCTAGTGGCCTAATGGTGAGGATTTTAGTCATCTTGATGTTGAAATGTAATCCATTTAAAGGCTGTAGTCTTTGATCGTATGCATGTGATTTACTGCGTCTGAAAACCCACTGGAGAGTCACTTATGTTGGTTTCTACTTGACAGTACATAACAACATAACTAAAGTATTTCACAGTGTTCTCTTTGGGAATATGATTTGGTTTTACTTAGAAATGTGCTCATTGAAAACATGTTTTTGCTTAAGCCTCCTGTTTTTCACTGGATACGAAAGAGAAGGGAGGAAAGGCAGAAAAACAAAACCTTATGTATGAATCAATGCATTTTTTTTTGGTTTATATATAATCATCAGAAAGAAATAAACAAGAATATTGGTTTAGCATTATTTCTTATAGTATAAAGTTTATTTGAATGTTTGAAACATTTATAATATTTAAGAAGTTTTGATTAAAAAGATGAAAAAAATTTATGATGAAGATACCACATGAAGGCATTGAGTATAATTCATAATGCTATGTAGGGAGCTCTGGTGGCATCGTCCTTAGGAAGTTATGCTGCGAACCCCAAGGCAGTGCATCTCAGGTGGTTCAAGTGCACAGGCATCTCTGAGAGTGAACAATGAGCCATCTCTTTTATGTCATTTATAGCCTCCTGAAAATCCATAAGTGGGTCTGCTATACTTGAGTTGATTTCAACCCACTGTCAGAGTTTGATATTTTGTGGTTGGTTTTTCTTTTTTAGAGTTTGAGTTTTATATAGATAATTTTGATGATATTGGGGTTTAGGCATTAATTAGCATGTTAAACAAAAGTTGCCAGTTTGATTTAAACAATTGCTCTGGGAGAGAAGAATGAGGCAGTCTACTTCCATAAAGAAAATCTCTTGTCAGTTCTTCTCTGTCCTGCAGTGTTGCTCTGAATGGAAAGGAATTTTCTTTCAACCCAAATATCTTTGACTCCTTCCTAGAGATGATCTAGAGTGGAGCCTGAGAATATGAACTCTGGAAGCTACTGTTTATTCCTACTTAAGTATCTCATCTTATTCCATTTTCCTGGCCTGTCTACTCTGGTTTCCCTGTTATGTCTCAGCTGATGTGCCCCATCCTGCATAAACTGCATCGTTTCTACAAGGCAGAGCTAGTTTTTCCTCCTAAGTTCCTAGTCCTACTTTATAAGAACACATTTTGGATTAAATTATCTTCTTCCACTTTATAGTAGACTTCTCTGGCATAGGTCATGGTTATTTATGGGGCTTCTGATGGCATAGTCAATACAAAGTTGCACTGCTAATCCAGAAGTGTCACCTCTTGTGGTTAACATACACCATCAGTGCCATGTAAGAAAGATGAGCAACCTCCTCCTGTGTAATTTACCGCCTTTGGAAATCTGATTAGGCAGGAGTGGGAGAGAGTCTACTATGAGTTGGCTCTAATTCAATGGAAATGTGTTGAGTTTTAGTTAAAAAATAAGTTGACTCTTCTTAAATCTGCCCAGATATAAGGACTGTAATGGGTGAGGAGGTGTTATTTTCCACAAATGTCCCTAACTTAGCTTGCATTGTTGTTGTTGTTATGTGTTGTTGAGCGACCCCATGTACAAGAGCCCTAAATGCTGCTCTGTCCTGTACCAACCTCACTGTCTCAGACTCACTCATTCCCAACACCCCAATCACAGAATTGATCCATTTCATTGAGGGTCTTCCTCTCCTGCATCGTCCCTTCAGTCTCCCAAACATGATGTCCCTCTCCAAGGACCAGTCCCTCCTTGCAACAAGCCCAAAGTATGTCAGACGACGTTTCATTACTAATGCATTTTTTGTTAATAAACAATTCTGTAGTTATCTTTGAATTTTCTCACAGGACCCAATAAAAATTGAATTTTTGATGAAAAAATTGATTTATATGTTTTAGAGAATATTTTTAGTACTAAACATTTTTTTATGTTTAGTTTGGTTAATGATATATAGCCTTAATTCTCTCATTTTAAGAATTTTCAATGTAGTCTGTAACTTAGAAAATAAGACTATAATATAGAAAGTGAAGCCTATAATGGTACAAATGGTATGGAATATGGTAATTAGACTAATTTGTGTAGTAAAAGCTAGAAACATCCCAGTTGGGACTTTATGAAATTAGTAAATAGATGTGATCATCTAAATAGTAATGTAAAAATGTTTTTTACAGATATCCAAATTAGATAGTGCTATGTATGAGGAGAATAAAATGTCGTTTCCAGTTTCAATTAGGAAACATTTTTAAGTAATATAATTATCTTTCTGATATGCAACAAAGAACAAGATAATGAATACAAGTTGGTATATATTCCTCACCACATCTCAGTGTGGGTAGAAATGATCAGGTTCATCTGGAAATGGGAGTGTTGTTAGGTGCTTTCAAGTTGAGTACGACCCATAGCGACCCTATGATCAACAGATCTCGGCCTTGTCCTATACTGTGCCATATCATACTTTCCGACACACTGGAACCCATTACAAATGTGACATTACAGTACCTTGATTCACTAAAAAGGCTCATTAATTAGCCTAATATTCATAGTAAAAATTAGTGAGCATAAACATACAAACATGAGTTTTTCTACAGAAACATGTATTGATTGAACCTTGCACCTTGAAAGGCTTAAAAAATTCACAGGCATATCAATGTATACCTAGTTTGTCCAAGTAAGTTTTCCTAGTGAGATTCAACTAGCTTGAAGGTCTCTAACTTGTGCTTCCTAATTCTTGGAATGTGTATAGTAAACAATGAAGAAAAACAAACAAGAAAACATTTTCTGTTGAGTCAGAAGTAACTTATGGTGACCCCATGTATGTCAAAGTAGAACTGCTATAGGAGGTCATTAAGGTGATGTTTGTTGTCTATAAGGTGTTATACTTCTAACTTGAAGGCTCAGCCTCCCTACTTGCATTCATAATTCATTCTGCTTAAATCACTAGCAAACCAATTACAAGAAGGACAGAGTCAACAGTGTCCCAGATGTTTGATCTTCTAGAATTTCATGATTTCCAACATCAACATTCTCTCCATTCAGTTCCCCACTCTTTGAGTTCGGTGTTTCACTGGAA